CGGGACCGTTGGGGGCGGGGTGTGTGGCCTTATGACACACTTCCGGTGATGTCAGGGGGTGTGGCCTTATGACACACTTCCGGTGATGTCAGGGGGTGTGGCATATGCTAATGAGTTATGCTAATGAGTTCCCCTAGCTCTTTTTCTACGAAACAACCCCTGGTTAAGGCTGATAGCTTAATAATTAATAACCAATATCACTTCAAGAATGTATTTTTTAATTTTCATTTATTTATTTTGAGGGGTTTTTAATCCTGTCTTTTCATTCTTTAGGTGATGAGGTTACATCATAAAGCATCACTCTGTTAAAACAGTAGACACCATAAAACCAAATTTTAAAATAGGTACAGAACAAAAAAGTGCCGCCCCATAGAAACAGCACCAAGGAACAGTAAAACGTTAAGAATTAAATTGAAACAAGCAAAACAGTAACGTGACTCAATAAAACAGTTCCAGGAGGGTAGCCGTGTTGGTCTGAAGCAGCAGGTCAAAGTTTGAGTCCAGTAGTACCTTTAAGACCCAGCTTTCATGTCCATGTGCATTTCTTCAGATGCACTGAAACAGAAGTCCCCAAACATTAGAGGAATTCAGGTGAGTAGCCACATTGGTCTGAAGCAGCAGAACAAAATTTATTCAAAGTGTAAGCTTTCATGTGCAAAGCAAACGTCTTCATATAGGTAGAGGGTAAAATAAAAGAATCAATAAAACAGTAGTAGTCAAAGTTTAAAATTGGCATGATCGTGGCAGAATTTTATTGCTTTCATGTGCAAAGCAAACGTCTTCATATAGGTAGAGGGTAAAATAAAAGAATCAATAAAACAGTAGTAGTCAAAGTTTAAAATTGGCATGATCGTGGCAGAATTTTATTGCTTTCATGTGCAAAGCAAACGTCTTCATATAGGTAGAGGGTAAAATAAGAGTAAAAAAAACAGTAGCAGTCAAAGTCTAAAATTGGAAAGATTGTGGCAGATGTTATTTGAAACAAAGTTCATTTTTTCCCTCCACAACGTCACCCAAAATAATGCTGACTGGAAATAGAACGGCCTAAGGTGGGGGTTGGTAATGAAAAAGGCTCTTTCTTGGGTGCCTGCTAACATCCCACAGTGAGGGTTTTCCTGCTGATCCCAAATCCTGGCAGGTTTAGTTTTCCATGTGCTTTGGAGTTGAGTTGTTCCGGAGTTCGAAGGTCAACACTAGTATTTTGAATTAGGTTAGTGTACAAATTGGGAATCAGTTCACTAAACACTGGACTTGTTTGTTCATTTTGCTGGTGCTGGGCCTTAATGTTTATTTCAAAAAGCCAAGAACACAGTCAATGTAACACAATCAATGTGTAACACATTGGGCCAGCTCAATGAGACATAGAAATGTGCAGGCTTTTGAGTTCTCTTCACCGTGCTGTATGTTACAAAATAAAAAACGAAAGAGAAAACGGGCGATTTTCAGGCCATGATTTTGAGAAGATCTTTGCTTGCCAGAACATCCACCATATATTGACCTGAAAAGTTATTACATGGCTTTCTGGCTTTTACTTTTGGAACAACATGGATATAAACCACACATATTCATTTGTCATCGTGGAACTTGGTTACTTAAAAGTTTTGGTAGCCAGTGGAGATCTTGTATATCTAGTTGCTACAGTGAAAATCATATCAGTTGTACTGATTTTGGAACTGCAATTGTTATGTTTAAATGCAGTGAGACAGTCAATGGATTCTGTACATGTTTTTTTCCCTGTGGAAAAATACTTTTTTATGCAGGAAGTATGAAGAAGCCCACCTGTGAGTAGTAAACCAGTGTGGCCATCACATGGTTTATAAATGAGTTCCCCTCATTCCGTAACAGAGCAGATAGGACCTACATTCTCATCTGGGGCTAATGTGCTTATAAATGCCTTCCAAAGATAGACACATACAGTATGTTCCACCTATCTGGAATGTGATCCTTTCTCCTCATAGTCATATTTTAAAGTGCTATTAAAGGTAAAAGGTAAAAGGTTCCCTTGCTCGAAAGCCAGT